ATGGAATATTACTCAGCCATAAGAAGAGATGAAATACTGCCATTTGTGACAACATGGATGGACCTTGAAATAATCATACTAAGCTAAATAAGCCAGACAGAAAAAGTAGGAAATCACATGATATCACTTATATGTGGGTTATAAACCTAAAAGCCACAAATGAACAGGACAAACAAACAGAGACTCATGGACATGGAAAATGGACTAATGGTTACCAGAGGGGAGGGGAGAGGGGAAAAGTGGGGAGGGGAAAAATTTTAAAAATAAAAAGTTAAAAAAATAAAAATTAAAAAAAATTAAAAAATATTTAGTGGATCTTTATATAAACATTATACCTAGTTTTCATGACAGAATGTGGGTTTGCTTATTCTCAACAAATTCTTTTGTTTGCCTTATAAAAATACCCCCAAGTGTTGTTAAATATACCCATTAAGACTGGGTAGTGCACTTCTGATGACTAGAATCTCTAGTTTGCATTGCAAATAGTGCACGTTATTGTCCAAATGGACTAGAAATGAGATGAATGTGGCCTGAACACTTGTTAAGCCATAATTATTTAACTAGTGAGAAATGCAAATAGAAATATTTTGTCTACAAATAAAATAAATAAAATGTGAGAGTGAAATAAAAACCAACATATTAAGCTAAGGCAAGCTATTTTGACCTAATGTAGAAAGCAAGAAGGAAACTAAGTCTGAGCAGATGATTTTAAGAAGTACATAACACAGTTGAATCACATAAAATGAATTGGCAGCTGTGTCTTTACATTATGAGAATAAAAAAGAAAAAAGCAGAGATAATAAAGGAAGGGATTATAATATTTCTTAAAATGAGAAATGAGTCATACACAAACGGGGATGAAGAAAAGGGGGCAGATATTGGAGATGCTGTGAAGAATTAAAAGATTTGGCAACAACTTGGCTCAAAGATTTTGTATTATTGTAATTTTCTACTGCCAAAATTTTCTCGATTTTAGGACATGGCAGAAGATCAAGGTCTGTGTCTCTTTTGCTTACACAGATAGAGTGCAGCAAGAGTGTTAGGCATTTGTTTAGATATTCCCTGGGCACTTTTTCTAAACTAAAAGGTCAATTTGAGAGTTGATTCCAATATGATTAATGTCCTCATTTGCACATGTATTTTTGAAAATGAGTGATTCGACAACTCTAATAAGGAATCTAAAATGTACTAAATAACCTACTGAGGGTGAAGCATGGTGCTTAAAACTTTACATTCATAGCTTACTTTATTCTTGCAAGATTTGTGTAAGGAATTTGCTTTTGTTTCTCTTTAACAAAGGTAGACAGACTCCAGAAGGTTCAGAGTATTGCCCAAGGTGTCACAGCCAGGAACAATGTGGAATCTTTGAGGTTTAAATGCATTGTCACATCAGTGCCTTTATATACTGCCTCCTATCAAAAAGTATTTTACTTGTGATTATGTTTTGTACATTTACAATTTACCTTTTATAAAATTCAAATCTGTTTCTGCCAGTGCAGAAGTATATTGTTCACATTTTGCACATGTTCTTTGGCATGTTGTCCATATCTCTCTCATCTACATTTAATTGTAAAATCTTATGTAAGCAGTAAATAGAATTGTCTAATTCAGTTTACACATAATAGTTTATAGAGGTACATAACAATTTCTATTTCAGTTTTATCATCAAAATATTTATTCTTCCTAATTACATTCTCTATCTATACTTCTCTTTGACTTCAGAAAAACAGTCACTCTCATCCTCTGCATAGCAAAAGAATTACCCTTTTAAAATGTTAAATATAGTCTACTATGTTTTTCTGTTCTCCACATCATTGTTAATAAATATGTAAAATAAATAACTATACTTAAATATTAAAATATATTTTGATATTAAAAAAATTAACATGAAATTTTATTATCTGCTAAGATAAAGAAGTAAAATATTACTTAAGCAAAGGAAAGCAATATTTAAGAGTTTTTCATATGTACATGATTTCCAATGTTGATTTGTTTTATAGAAATGAGTCCTATAAAGTTATGCCAACTGGTTCCATGTGTTTTCCATCTGAAGCTTCGTGATAAGCTTTATATTTTCCAAGTATCCCACTCTCACTCAGTTACTGTCTGGCTTTCTAAACTTTGTTGAATTTTTCTGAAATTGTCCAATAGGTTAAAATTTGTCAAGTAGATTAAAAACATATAGAGCTAAATCCATATAGCTCTAACCACTGAGCATAACACTATTCGTACACGTAAGAAATATGGTACTACCAGTTTTTTTAAATGTCTGTAGCCTTTTAATTAGGAAATACTTGGATAAAAATCTTGAAATATCCAAGATGACATTGACTTGTTAAAATTAGAGCATTCCATTCTCCTAAATTTCCTAACCCATTGTGTCTCCTCCTATACAACTGAAAGTTTAATTTTTGAAAGTCCTTTAGAATCCACTGTAAAACTATTTCTTTCTGAAGACCACACTGTGGACCAGGCCAAAAAAAAGCAGGGGTGGGGTGGGGGAAGGTTTGAGGGAATGGAAATGAGCCAATTCTTTTTTATATTAGAATGTATGTATGTTCTTTGGGGTTAAGGATTGCCTAGCACTGTTTGTAGATCGATTAGTTCAAAAGACAGGTCAAAAGACGAATAAAAATTACTGATTTTGAGGTGAGGGTGGATTTGCGCAAGCCTTAAACTCCAAGATGTCTGGAGCTCTTGGGAAGAAGAGTTGCATCTATGAAAAGGGAGTCTATGGTTCTCTTTTCTGATAGAAACATTATCTGAAATAGTTGTCCTAGGAATTCATAATTCTGTCTCATTTTTTAAAGAAAAAAATTGCTAACATAAAATAGTAAAAGGAATAAAATCAATCACCATACCTCTCCATTAAAGAAGCAGAAAATTGTAGAGACCAAAAGGCCCTGTAAAAGAAAAATTGAACAATGTGATTGCAAATGGAAAAGGTATAGAATACATTATTTGTAACCAATTTACTGGATATATAGTCAAAAATAAAACCAAAGCTATATGTAAATTTAATACCGAACTACTCAAACTGCTTCCGGATGAAGGAATATCATACCTGATAATGCATAAGAATGTGCATGATGTAGTCGTATACCTCCTCCGCGATCCTTCCTTCAGGTCGCCATGGAATCAGCACAAATTCAATGCCCAGTAATGGCACCAGGATCAATGTAGCTCTCACTGCTTTCATGTAGAGATTAGATTCTGCCTGGTGAGTAACCTTCAACTTGGTGATGAGAACACGTACAATATTTAACAGGAAAAAAAGATTTATCTAAAAGAAAAGAAAATGGCATGTGAAAATTATTTCATATTATTATTAAGAAGCATTATTAAAGAATCTTTGATTTTATAAATCTTAGAATATTTTCAATGTACCAGAATATATTCTAATAAAGAGAATTTTGCCCGAGATACAATTTGTATTTTTGGAACTGAGTTGTTAATTCAACAAATACATCGATTTAAATGGACTTAGGTTTTTGAAAAATAAAATCGTGGTGGAATTATTGTGGAACATATTCAGTTGAGGAATATCTGCTTTTCTCAGTTCATTATCTTATGAATTTTTTTTTTTTGAGTTTTGGTTCAAAATTTAAAGCTTTTAAATATTTTTAGCTCAAACAAAAGAAAGATTTGTTTATAATAAATTCTAATTTTTAAGTGTCTCCTCTGTATCAGTGTCCATTTAAGGTACTTTCTAAATATATATATTATATCATAATAAGCTTTTTCATCTTTTTAGTTTAATCTTTCTGTTTCTTTTTATAACAATAATCTTCACAACTCCTCCAAGATAGTACTGTAATCCTCTATCATTGTGAGTAGACTGAATCACACACTTGAACTAGTTGATATTCAACCTACCTTATCCTAGAGATAAAAAAAATTGTGGCACCCCACAGGACCTTCTGTTATGTTAATTACTTTCTGTAATTATGTACTTAATGTGTGTTAACAACTTTCCCCAAGAAAAAACATTGTCTTTGAAAGGGAGAAATAAAACTTCAAAAATATAGCATAGATAACTAAGTGACTCAGAAAATGAACAAGTTCTGCTGAAATAGCACTCTCTCTCTCTCTCTCTCTCTCTCTCTCTCTCTCCCTCTCTCTGTCTTCTTTCTTTGATACAAGTCAATATCTTTTACTCTTGTCTGTTCTCTCTATGCCTTTTCCTGTGCCTTCCATAGGGATATGGGCATTCACTCCAGAAGAGTACCTTAGGGCTCTTATGCTGTTATAGTATTGTCTTTCCCTTTTTTCTCATTCTGACTTGTAGCATCTGTGCTTTTTTAATGAACTAAAATTTTCAAATTACATACCAATATGTAATTTATATCTGCATAATTTAATAAATTGG